CGTGCGTGCGTGCGTGCGTGCGTGCGTGTGTGTGTCTGTGTTATGTGCTGCCGTTAATTTCCCCACACGGGAGTCAGTAGAGCAGACAGTTTTGTGTCCAGCCTGAATAAACTCAAGGCTGCTAGTTTTTGTTTTTTGTTTTTATCAGATGAGTGATGGGCTGCCACGTTCCTGTGTTTACTGTTTTTTTTAAGGGGTGGGGGAAGCCGCGTAAACAACATTAATCTAGCGTGACACGACCAATCATTGGCATGACGATCAAACCTGTTGGTGTTTGTTGCAGCTGTCGTCAACTAATGAGCGCCACGCATACATGCGGAGACACGTCCCTGCTGCCCGGATGTGCTCGTGTGTGTTTGTGATGCGTGGGAGGCAGAACTGTGTGTTTCGAGCTGGCACAATCCCACACGTGCCGGATTCTGCTGATTTATTTATTTATTTATTTTTTGAAGTATTTGTTCAGCCGTTGCTACAGTCAAACACAAAAATCATCTTCAACCCCGCTCGGCAAATATTGAGTCGACGACCTGTCGGTGGATTTGTTTTGATGGCGTATAGCTAGCTTAGTAATGAGCAGATGAAAAATAAATGTGAGTCATATCTCATACTAAAGGCCGAAATGAGAGGATTCCAGATCTGTAACGATTTGGTCGCGCGTATGATGGAGCTCGGTTTGTGGAGCATAAATCACTCGTGGACCGTCACACCGCTGCCTGAAAGGAGCCCCTCTTGGCTTTCTCATTAAAATTTCTTAAAACGCTTGCGACGCATCCACTCTCCCCCTTTGCGTGCTTGGAGGTTTGTTTAGAAAGGACTAGGCGCCCGTGAAACTTTTACTGCGTCTGTATAGGAAGAGATTTATCAGCGGCGCCGCGAAGCCTTTAAGAAACGGTGCCATAAATTATTTATGGCCCCTTCATTTGGAATTCTGAGGCGCAGCGAAGCGTCTTTTAGCTCCAGATCACAGAATAATTGATGCTCTCAGTTAGATTGGAGATGTGCTTTCAGCTCCAGCGAGAAGAGGACGATGTCGCTCCTCTCAAAGCACTCGATCATTGGGGCTAACGTGAATGCTAACGGCTAAAGCGGCCTCTCTTTTTTATTTATTTATTTATTTATTTTTGGCCCAAGGAGACAGCAGGAGAAGAGGCACAAAAAGAGGCCAAAATCCAGACGTTAATGGGTAAGGCAGGGCAGGATTTGCATAGTGGGTGCGGTTTAACCAAATACGAGATTCGGGCAATTACCAACAGTTACCTCCACCAAGGAAGTTGATTTCCCAATGTTTTTTTGTTGCTCGATCAAAGAATTTGTTTTCACATTTCTCATAACTACTGAATTAAAATGCAACCATGAAACAATTTTGTCTTATGCAGTTGATGAGGTGCCCAATTTGGTGTCTGTCCCAAACGATGACCCTGGCCAAGAGGGTGCCTTGCCGCTGTTATGCTTTATGGCGAGTTGAAGTGCAGACATTTGACAGGTCGGCCGGCCGCTGTAGGTCGTGAGTCAAGGGCAACGAGCGGATCGGGAGTATGTGGATAGGGATGGATATTAAACGCACCGGAGCCTCCATTGACAGAAATGAGGACTGAGACAAGGAAGGACAGAGGGGGATGGGGGGGGGGGCGTGGTGATAATGAAAGGGGTTTTTTTTTTGGGGGGCTTGCAAGATGCTGATGCGAGGGAGAGAGAGCGGGGAAGAAACAGGCGTCACTGTGGAGCGCCTCCATTGATAAAGTGGCGCGGCTGCAGCAGGACACACTCGGCGTCATCATGCGCTCGCGCTTCGTTTGTGTCCAGTCGAAACGCCGCGGCGAAAACCAAACCGCCTCAGCTCAGTTGGACGCATTTGGGAACGGCACCTGTGACCCAGAGGCAACCCCTCGGATGTAAACGCATCTCAGCCGCAGCCCCATTTGCCGTCAAGGTAAGAAAAGCAGCCGAGACAGAGGCGCTCTGATTCCAAGGCATCAAACAAAACAGTGACAGTGCGCCGGCCTTCTGACCTATTCTTGCGTCGGCCGACTCCCATCGATGGAGCTGAGAGCACATCGCTTGTCAACAAACGGCATCCGGGAATGCTGTGAGGTGTCGCGGCTGGTCCTCGTAACTCCATTACGTAATCTCTCGAGTTGCTGGCATTGTCATTACGACGGGTGTTGGGGTGATTCCGAAGCTCATATTCCTGTCTGCCGTTTTATTTTGTATTTTTTTTTTTTTTCAAGCAGAGTTGGTGAACAGTTTGTCCAGATCCACTGAATATATGGTGTTCGAGGACAATATCCACACTAAACTGACCGAAAGAAAGAGTTGAGTTTTGTTTTGGGGTTTGTTTTTCTTTTTTGGTCATTGTTTGGTAATCAAGAGTAGAGCATGGGTTGCTTTCACCAAAAGCGCTGGTTTCTGTGCAAAAAGTCCATTCAAGAAGAACCGTGACTGTGACATGAGTGCTTTTTGCTTTTGTGATGCCTCAAACTCAAAGAAAACAAAAACAAGACTGAGAAAATCCTTTGGCCAGCAATTATTTCCAAATGTGCAACTAAGAAACATGCGATGAGCGGCGCTCGACCGCTGCGTGGCCCGAGTTGAACATCTTTATTTTGTGTCGTTTGCCATTCACTGGGGGAAATCTTTTCTTACCATGACGATGAGTGGAGATTGACCACCCAATCTTTATCTTCTACTCAAAAACTATGCTGATCGGGACTCCAAAGCACCGAACCACCTCCTCCTGCAAATAACTTACTACAAAAAAAACACAAAAAAAACGGAAAAAGCAAGAAGCGAACGTTTTTGCGTTCTTAAACGATCCGCCGGCTGGATCTTGAACGCGGATCGCAAATGTTGTCAAACGTCTGCCATTCGAGGAGAAAGCTTGTAAACGTGGCCTCGTGAAATATTTTGAGGGACATGCGGCGTCCCGCCTCCCTCGCTCTCTCGCTCACTCTCTCTCGCTTTTCATCTCCTCCTCATCCTCCTCGCTCCTTCGCATCCTGCCTGTCGACATCCCCCCGTGCATTAGCCAAGTCTAACAAGCCTCCGCCTTTTCTTTTGCTTGCCAGCAGCAGCCCACCCCTACTGCCCTTGACCCCCCGCACCCTCCATCCGTCACACTGGGCTCTACGGAGGCAAGCGGGGCGCCGGTGTCGGCCATGAAGCTGGTGAACGGTGGACGACGGGGTGCAGGAGGAGGAGGAGAGAAGGCGGCGTTCTCCTTCAAGAAGTGCTCAGCCTTTCAGTTTGTCAAGAGGAAGGTGAGTTGGAATGACGCACACGCGCCACAAAGATGATGTCGCTGCCTTAGAAGAGTGCCCCCCGCCCTCCCCCGTCTGTGTTTTACTGCGCACCACAAGTGTCTGTTGGCTGAATAAATAAACCACCAATGACATCATCGGTTTTTGGAAGGATGGACTCGGGTCTTTTGCGCTGCAACACGAGACAAAGACGTAAGCCCCCCCCCCAAGGATACCATTTGAAGTGACCTGGCTAGTCCGCATAATGTATAAAACACAAAAAGTAGGTCATCTGGGGCGCTTGACTTGCCAATACATTTGCATCACTTTGTGCCATGCAGACAGATGAGCGTAAAGGCTCTGCTGTCAGGTGTCCTGGCCGCGCCGCCCATCATCCGGAATGCTGAAATAGGTGAGCGCAGGTCTCTGTGGCAACAACGGCAATGCAGTTCAACCCAGTAAACAACTTTGAAGCCGTTTCGTTGGTGACATGAGCCAGAATGCTCGAATCCGAAATTTCCCGGTCAACGGAGCGCCCGAAGTGCCCAGTCTCACCCCAGCGGATGTTTCCGTCCCTTGGATGGAAGACCGAGTATTTGAAAAAGGTGTCACGGGGCTCTGCATTGAGTTGCCGGTCAGGACATTAACACTGAATTAAAGCTCTTCCCGTTCGTTTCACGCCTGTGGGGAAAAGGAAAGGCCTTGGTCGGTGTCATGACGACAAAGAGGCAAAGGAATTTCCGGATGGACGAGTCGCGTCGTGCGCTCGCCTCGCGACCTTTCCCACACTCGCGGAACATTTTGATTGCCGCATGCCGCCACATGCCCGCCGCGCTCGGATGACGTCACAGCATCATCGGTTGGGCGTGTTGTCTCATTCATCATGCGCACAGGGAGGGGATTTCACTGAAGTCTTTCAATATGGTCTGCGTCAGAACTTTGGAGCGGTGACGCAATCATTTGTCCGTTGGGTTGAAAATCGAGATTTAGTTATTTATTTTTTAATCAATAGAATGTGTACTTTATCCTCGCGTTGTAGCATTATTCGACGCTGGTAACATTTCATCCCCACCAAGGTGCGTCGATGGATGCGTAACCCCAAAGTGAGCGTGGAGAAGGCGCAGGGCAAATGTCTGCCGTACCCGTGCGCCAGGTGCCCGCCGGCCGAGGGGCCGCGCTACCCCCGCTCGGCCTCGTGCCGCTCGCCGTACGGC